CACACAAACAACTAAAAGCTATTGTTTTAAATGCTGTAAAGTTTGAAAAATGTATATTTGCTAAAGATTTAACATTGTTATAAAGTTATAGTTTTTACATTTTTATGTGTGCATTAGATGGAGGCAAATGAAATAGAGGAAATTAGCTTCCTAAATAATGTCTAATAAATTTCTAATAAATGTATTAGATTAAAACATCTCTTATACGAGACTGTAACTGATACAACATCAACATATTGTGCATACCTGTATAATGCATACTCTTCAACGTATATTTAAAAAAAAAAATAGGTCATTTTCAGCACACACTGTATAGTAGTACAGTATGACGTACGCTACAATTCTAAACAAAGCCTTCATCTTCACATGCAAGAAAAATCATATTTCCCATGACACTTCTGGCACACAGTTTTACTAAACCATTAGCTTCAGTCAGATGCCAAACTGTTGTGCACTAAAAGCACCCTTGTGGGAGGAGGTGCCACACTTTCATTGAGAGTTTCAGAAATTAATTAGTTTTGATCGCACAAGCTTTAGGAATAACAAATTAAAGCGGAGGACTGCAGATCCTTGAGTGACAGCCTCATGAGGAAATATGAATCACCAACCACAAATACAACCGCACAAACGCTTTCCTCAACAAACATGCTTCTCACAGGAAGCTTCACTCAAAATGAGCCGTCTCTCTCTACAACACTGCTTATCGCGGATATCCAGCAACACGAGACACAATAGATATGATGCTGTCTCAGACATGTCTCTCACAGAACTGGGATCAGATCTCTTGGCCGAGAAACAGCTTTTTCCATGTCTCTCACAGGAATGGACATGATGACATGAACACTTGCATATCTTTCAAGATGAAAGTTCCGCTCAAAGTAAACTGTCCCAACACAAGTAAAGCAAATGTCTTTCTCTGCAGGTGATTTAATTTGAAGTGAAATAAAATCGACCCAAAAGTACCTGCTAATCGGATCAATTCAGACCGATGAATCATTCGTCCTTGAGCAAGGGTATGTGAACAAGCAGACAGCCATGGAGGAGTGATAAATTGACATGACTGTAAGGACGCAATGGAGCTTCACACACACAATTCAACAGCAGCAGTAGGACCCATTGTTCTGATGGCTCTATCTATCTATCTATCTATCTATCTGTCTATCTGTCTGTCTGTCTGTCTGTCTGTCTATCTATCTATCTATCTATCTATCACCAGTGCTATTAAAAAAAAAAGTGAAGTGACGTGTGGCGACCCATACTCGGAATTAGTGCTCTGCATTTACCCATCCTAAGTGCACACACACAGCAGTGAACACACACACACCGTGAACACACACCCGGAGCAGTGGGCAGCTATTTATGCTGCGGCCTGGTATTGCAGGTGGAAGAGAGCGCTGTACATTCACTCCCCCCACCTACAATCCCTGCCGGTACGAGACTCGAACCCACAACCTTTGGGTTATGAGGCCGACTCTCTAACCATTAGGCCACGACATATTATAACATCATACAATTCACTCTATATGATGCCAAAAAGTAACGCAAGTCAAGTGTTTTCAGATCAAGTGTCAGTGCTAACCTCTGGCAGAAAATCTTCTTGATTTGTTGGCCCACTCAGACATGCTCTTACTGGATTACCCTTTATTCACTCAAGATTCACTCTCACACAAATACTACAGAAGCCACAAACAAATTATAGGCAAATCCAATAAGCCACTGAGAAACCACCCAAAGTCCTCATACAATACAAAGTGGCTTAAACAGGATATTTAGTTAAGACACATACTATTGTATGGAGTGATCCCGGTAGAGATTTGACTGTTGTTAGAGAAGTGCTCCATTACATGAGAAACTATAGAGGACTAAGGGTGTCCAAAAAAAAAAGGATGTTTAAAACGTATGAATAAATACATCATAAAAAAACATGGTCGCACTTTATTTTAAGGTCCAATTCTCGCCATTAACAATCCATTAACTATGACTTTTTTCCTCAATAAACCCCTAATTTGCTGCTTATTAATATGTGGGTAGTTGTTAAGTTTAGGTATTGAGTAGGATTAGGGATAAAGAATATGGTCATGCAGAATATGTGCTTTATAAGAATTAATAGCAAATATGTTAATAATAGGCATGCTAATAAGCAACTACTTAATAGTGAGAATTGGTCCCTATAAGTGTTACATACATGTCAAGATCATACATAAATAAAACAATCTTAAAATTTGCTAAGGCACCATGGTTTAGAAACAATGGTAATTGTAAAGAAAAGCTATTTATTTATATTTTAATTATTAAATTGATCATTGACACCTATATATTATTTTCTTCACTAAAATATTGTATTGGCTAGATACAGAGTAAAACTTGTTTACAACACACTAGATAATTGGTATTATTAATTATTATATTATTAAGAATTTGTACTTGACCTACAAAATAGAAAAATGTCCCAGAAATCCCTATGAAGTGGAAAAAACATGACATGCTTATTAATAAAAATTGCTATAACAAAACAAAAAATGTTTTTGTTGGTTATAAGACCTAAGTGGAGCCGACTGGACAACTAATTCAAATTTCCGGTGACTTTTAATAAGCTTTCAATAGTTACATATAAAAAAATGAAGTGAGAAAATGATAAATATATCATACTGCTCAATGGCACCGGCAACATTTATTCTTCATTAAAAGGGGCAATGCAATAGCCATCCTTCAGGCAAACAAATAACAGAGCTCCTCAAGTGTGTTCTGCTCTGAAATGTCATATATAAACGATCATAGGTATTAGAAATGGAACAGATCAAGAGTGCGTAAGAGAAAAAGTGAAAAAATAGGGCTCACTGCATGCCGCTATAGTTAAAAAACCACAGCTGGCTCCCTTGAGTGAACCTCCCACTTGAACAAAAAGTGAAAGACTAAAAGATGGAGAGGAAGTGTTAAAGAGTAATGACTCTCCATTATCACAAACTCCGACCCCTCTCATGGGCGTTGCACCATGCAGACTGACAGTGACTAAAGTGCTGAGGGCGAAAGACAGTTTCAGATCACCAGAGGTCCAGTATTTCCTGACCGCTGCAGGATTTCTGGGTGACTGCATGCACATCATTACTACATGAGCGCCAGTATGCCATGGTATGTCTCACCTGGGAGACACAACCTGCATAGACATAATATGACAAGACAAGCATTCACAGGCAAGCTGCTATAGAGCTTGAGACTATAAATGAGATACATCAATACATTTTCACTCGTCTAGACGGGTTGGAACCCATTCCTGCCTCTCCTGAGGCTAGAGTCTGCTCAATTCCCACAGATATATCATACACTGCAGTTGGTCCTGCGCTTTCATAAACAAACACTGCAGTGAATCCAATGCAAATAAACATAAACTAGATGCGTTTGCACATACTCACCGACACAATGGTAGGGTGTTGCTATGCGGTTACAAAGGTGTTCTAAATGTTGTTAGGTGTTTTATAGGAAGCTCTGGGTAATTTCTAGGTGGTTGCTAACCTCCTCAAATCAAAAGATAGAAAGTAGGTCACTGCTTCAATCTATAGGATTTTTTTGCCCCTTTTTATTATTTACCAGTCTAAAATCAATTCTAATGGTTCTCAAGTAATGGTTTTCAAGTAGGATAGTTTGTGAATGAATCAGTGTTTGCACATGTTTCTCTTAATCAAGCTGTTCTCATTCTCAAAATTATGGCATAAAAAGACATAATTATGGCATAAAAGACAATTATGACATACAATGTCATAATTATGACAATTATGAGATAAAAAAGTTATAATTATGACATTTTAAAAAGTCATAATTATAAAGTTTAAATTATTATATAAAAAGTCATAATTATGACTTTTTAATCTCAATTTGGACTTTTTATCTAATTATGATTGGTATCTCAATTTTAAAAAATAATGCTTTGTTAAATTATAATTATGACACGTCAAAATTATGAAAACATTTTGACATGTCATAATTATTACTTTTTATCTCAGTTTCGACTTTTTATCTCATGATTGGTATCTTAATTTTGAAAATGATGTCAATCATAATTATGACAAAAATAATTATGACTTTTCATCTCATAATTTCATCTTTTTTTTATCTCATTATGACTTAGTATTTCATAATTTTGGAAATCATGCTTTGGTAAATTATAATTCTGACATAAAAATCCTAATTACGATTAAGTATCTCATAGTTTTTACATTTTATGCAATAATTATGACTTTTTATGTTTTTCATTTTATTTTTATAATCATTTCTTTCTCACTTCAGACAAAGGTGATGGTGGCAAGTAAAATAATTCCTTAGCTTGTTTAGGTAATTAGAGACAACAACAACAAAAAAACCTTGGTGGAGCCAATCCTCCTCTGACAAGAAACATATTACAATAAATAGTTCAATACATTTATGATGTATATTATTTTCTCATGAGTGAAGGGCTATCCTGCACCCTGGTAAATACAATATTGGGCTACACCGAAGGATACTGATATTGCAGTGTGTGCAGTATATTAAAAGCACTTATATTATAATATGAATGACAGTAATTTAATTATTTTAATGCAACATTTAATAATAGAACAGCTATGGCTGGGACAGGATTCAAGTATCACTCAAAGCTTCAATGTAATCATGAGTGTTACGCCAACTTTCTTTTGAGCCAGTCTGAAAATACAGGCATGTACATTCCAAGATGTGTTTCAAAGAATAAAACAATCCAGAATTGTCAAAACATCAACAATTAAATTCAGCTAATGAAGGATAAAACCAAGGCTGAATTCAATATGGCAGAAATAATACTAGTATGCTATTTTCAATTAAGCTCAAGTTTGTGGTTTTATGTATGAAACAAGGACAATTAAATCAATGAGAATCACCCAGTTGTGCTCCCATTTGTGCAAGTCTGGAGAACCATTAATGTTAATAAAGAGGGAGGGACTATCATTAATTAGCTGAAATCAGTAGAGTACAAAAAGACCAGTTGGGTGGTGTCTCAATAGTAAGACTAACTGTTGAATTATGGCTGTAAGGTGGTGTTTGGTTCAAGTACTGGCACTGTGTGCAGTCTGTCATGCTCTTCCACAGTGGAGTAATTTGCCCCAGAACCCTCAAACTCTGATGGTCCAGCAAACTGACCAGCGGTTTCAACAGCCTAATCAGAAGTTTCCTCAGAGGTTTCAGTTTCAGAAACCAGTGGTGCAGGCAGAGCTCCTCGATAAATGTGCTGTAGCTGATTACGAGCAGATCCAGTGTGGACAACCTGGTATCAGTGCTGCTGAATGTCAAGTTATCAACTGCTGCTTTAATGGACAGCAGTGTTACTATGGGAAGGCAGGTAAGTGTTGAGTTGGTGTTATCCTATTTCACTCTTAGAAATAAAGGAACTTCATGATGCCAGTTTTTATTTTTTTTGTCTAAATGGTTCAATAAAGAACCTTTAACATCTGAAGAACCTGTTTCACGAAAGCTTCTTTGTGGTGAAAGGTTCTTCAGATAATGAAGGTAGTATTATTATTTATATATTTTTTTTAAACACCCTTTGATTCTTTGTGGAACCAAAAATGGTTCTTCTATGGCATCGCTGTGAAGAATCTTTAAGAGCGGTGTTAAACTGCTCAACATTAACCTGCTCTTGTGCCTTTGTTTCAGTGACTGTCCAGTGTATAAGAGATGGTCAGTTTGTGGTAGTGGTGGCTAGAGATGTTACACTGCCTCGACTGAGTCTGGATTCGGTCCGTCTACTGGGTGGAAATGACCCACCTTGTGGTCCTGTGGGGTTCACACCTTCCTTTGTTATTTACCAGTTCCCTGTGACCGCCTGTGGCACGAGCATGATTGTGAGTAGCTGCTTTCATTTTCATTCTGCATGGCTTACCATCTACTGGATGCCATCAGTGTTTGTTTGCAGGAGGACAATGGTTATGTGGTGTATGAGAACCGAATGACCTCTTTGTATGAAGTGGGGATTGGACCACTTGGGTCCATCACAAGGGACAGCCATTTTGAGTGAGTGATCTATGACTTGGTGTAACTGTTAAACTGACAAGTGATCTAAGCTCATTGTTTGTTGTCCAGGCTTCTCTTCCAGTGTAGGTACTCTGGTACTTCTGTGGAAGCTCTGGTTGTGGAGGTGAACACTGTTCCTCCACCTCCACCAGTAGCTGCCCCTGGACCCCTCAGGGTGGAGCTTAGACTGGCCAATGGTCAATGTGTCACCAAAGGGTGTGCAGAAGGTAAGTGCTTGTCCCATGTGTTCTCAAAGTCTTAAGACTCCAGGTTGCAGCAGTTTCTGGTTAAACACCAGTGTTCCTCAGGGGATGAGGCCTACACGTCCTACTACAGTGACGCTGATTATCCGGTCACAAAAGTCCTGCGAGAGCCAGTGTATGTTGAGGTGCGCATTTTGGAGAGGACTGACCCCAACCTTGTCCTGATGCTGGGACGCTGCTGGACAACTTCAACCCCCAGTCCACTCGGTCTGCCCCAGTGGGACCTGCTGGTTGATGGGTGAGTAATGGCAATCTCTATCCAGTTAGTCCATGAGTCCTTTCTCTGAGGGTTTCATTCCCTTTCAGATGCCCTTACCAGGATGATCGTTACCTGACCACGTTGGTGCCAGTGTTTGGATCATCTGGTCTTCAGTTCCCAACCCACTACAAGCGCTTTATTGTGAAGATGTTCACGTTTGTAGATCCGGCATCACTGGCTCCTCTGCAGGAAACTGTATGCGCCGCCGTACACTAAAACATTTAACTTTACTCTTTAAGGATTCTGACTTGGCTTTTTTTTTTTCCCCCTTCACTGTCAGATCTTTATCCACTGTAGTACAAAGGTGTGTCATCCATCTTCTGGCTCCTGTGAGCAAAGCTGCTACAGTAAGTGTAACCTTCATAAAAGACAAATGTATCAGACCTATCTTTCTGAACCGATGTTTACATTTGGTGAACCGGTTTCAAGTCATAAATCCTACCACTCTTTTTGAGTTCAGTCACTTAAAGTAATTGCACACCTTCTCAAAACCACACAATTTTAAGCATCATTGCTGTAGGTAGCACAAAGGCCACAGGATGAGCCACTTTTCACTCCATCTGCACTGTAAAAAGTAATCACTGAATCTACTCAAGAGCGAGTAAACACAACTGATTTTTACAAATTTATTGAATTTACTTAACACTTATGTGAACTTTCAGGTGGATGAAATAGTTAAACTAAACAACTTTAGTAAACAGTACTTAAGAGCATCTAGTTTGTTGGATTAAATCCCACTGTGCCCTAATAACTCTAGACCAGTAGGTGGCGGAAGTGCACCAATAGGTGGCGGAAGGTTGGATTAAACCACATCACCAGAAGAAGACCACTAACTGAACTTCAGAGTCAGGTCTGTTTGAAATGTGGCCGCAAGATTAGGTAAGTTTTTGATCTTATAAACTATATTGTCACAGTGTGTGCTATCATTTGAGGAAAAGAAAAGGCAGATTTTATTAGTTTTTACTGACGAGTAATACTGTAACCGTCAGTTAGTGTACTAGCTAGCCAGTGGCTTACAAGCTAGATTACAAACATCTTCCTCTTTACTGCTAGTTATAACATGAAATAAACGTAAGCATCAAAGTATGTTAAGTGATACAGTACAACTTAATGAAAACAAAGGTGTGTCATCCATCTTCTGGCTCCTGTGAGCAAAGCTGCACCAGGAAACGTGAGTTCTTGCTCTAACTTGACTAAAGGAACTGAGAATTAAGTGGCCTTCACAGTTCTTACATTTTCTCTTCCAGGCAGAGACACTCCTGTCAAGACCATCTCTAGTGAGCAGACTGTGGTTTCTAGTGGAGAAGTTACTCTGGTCATGTAAATCTAGTGGTTTCAATAAACTTTGGGATACAAAGATCATTTTGACTTTTTTTCAGACTCTATTATATGCCTGTTCCCAGGTTGTTTCTTGTGCAACACTATTAAACCAAGGTTCCACTGTTTTTGTAAGGTTATGCTTTGAGTCCAAGCTTCTGCACAAGCCATTAATAACTTTCATGGTTTGACCTGGGGCACCAGATAAGGTACCAAATTAAGGGTCATGATTAATGTCTGCCTGGTTAACTTTGCCTTCGTCAGGTCAAACCCTACAAAGGCATAGAGCAGGCTGCTTACTGTCTCGCACACAAACTAATGTGGTGATCTCTAATACAATACCAATGTGATTGTATATTTAGCTGGATTGAAAGACACTTGATTTAGGACTGTACAGTAAGTGTAACCTTCATAAAAGACAAATGTATCAGACCTATCTTTCTGAACCGATGTTTACATTTGGTGAACCGGTTTCAAGTCATAAATCCTACCACTCTTTTTGAGTTCAGTCACTTAAAGTAATTGCACACCTTCTCAAAACCACACAATTTTAAGCATCATTGCTGTAGGTAGCACAAAGGCCACAGGATGAGCCACTTTTCACTCCATCTGCACTGTAAAAAGTAATCACTGAATCTACTTAAGAGCGAGTAAACACAACTGATTTTTACAAATTTATTGAATTTACTTAACACTTATGTGAACTTTCAGGTGGATGAAATAGTTAAACTAAACAACTT